CAGCCGTGGCAGCAGACTGCATTCTCACGTATGTAAATGCGACTTATTTTTTCTCATGTCGAAAATCTTATCTGCCTAAGGTCACATCGATAAGCGAAAGAGCAAACGATTTTTTTTTCTCATAATTATCTTTGAGTAGAATCGTACACGTTAAGCAGACATCAGCAGTAAAAATTTCATCCCGTTTCATCATCTGTAAGCTGAGATATTTCAGAAAATAATATAGCTGTTTTAACATACGAAGTATATCTATATAGTGTAATTTTTACTATTTTGATTCCATATATCTCTGAAAGAAAATGACATATTTTCATGGCCAATGTTAATCTTCAATTTTGATTAACGCTGTAGCTACCTTAATGCCTAACGGATGCCTCTTAGATTTGAAAAAGTCATTTATCATTATTCTACGTCATCTTCGCATACGGCTACACCCTACTTGTGCGTCACCCTTGTACAGTGTCGTAAGTACGTATTACCGTTACTTCATCCCTTTAACGTGGTTTGTCTTTCCTCCAAGGTCGGCCAGCACGCTCCGTCACTTTAGTCACTTGACTCCCTTCACTCTCTTTAGTCTCTTCAGTATTGCTAATTCGCCATGCGCGCGTTTAACACGACCACCGCGTAGTCAGCGAGCTTGCGTGACAGTGTGCACACGTATACCCAGTGCACGGGATGCTGTCGGGAACTTACGGCGAGCAAGGTATACGTTGCAGGCTGAAAATACGTATACGCGTATGGTTTAATTCCAGCTGGGCCAAGCTCTAACTGCATTTGTAAGCACGTAGCGAGACTGACGACGAAACAGGCACATAGGTACTAAGTTGTTAGCCATTTACGTAGTATGCAAATAATGTACCTGTCGCTCCTGCTGCGGTATTTGTATAATGCGGTATATATGTATATACGCGGAAGGGCTATAGCTATACGAAGGAAAGCGGCCGGCGGGGACACTGGGATAAAGAGCGTTTCTCCGCCGTTTCGAATTTACCATTGAAATTTTGCTGGCACCCGAGCCAATGTGTTTGCCTGCTTTCCCTATGTAGTCACGAAATATCTGCGGCGGACGTTGATTTAAATCACGAATTATTAACACGTATTTTTCACAGGTCGATTGTTCTATTGTGTGAAGTTTTGGAAAAAAAAAATTGGTTCAATTTAAAAAAAAAAATTTTTTTTTGCAACTACCCATCGACTGTGTGCTTTATGTATTTTTTAAAAGTTCCCGCTCTCGTGTCAACGACGTTACCGAGCCACTTGCCGATGGCAACTGTCGAAGTTCCAAACTCATTGTCAACTCCTCGAAGAAAGTCGGAGGCACTGCGCCCTATTAGAAGTTGGTGAACTTTCGCTTGTCAGCCGCATCCATCCAGTCTTCGCGAACCTTAGCCAAGAAGTCGCGTGGATTTACTGGATGCTCGCCTCTTAATAGAACCCCATTAAACAGAGAAGAGGCGTAACGATGGTTGTAGATATAGGAACTTTTCATGAGTTCACTCATTATACGTGTCATAGGAATGACTTTTATTCTGTTATCTATTATTTTTTTATAGTCTATGCGCCAAGTCGTGTAGCCTGGATAAATACACGGTGATTTCCTTGCATCCACAAGACAAGTAGGTTTATTTATTTTTTTTAACTTGTTCTCGTTGCATTATACCGAGACACCTTTCAGTCAGGGATCAAAGAAAAAAGTGGCATTCGATTCTGGAGCCCTGAGATCGAATACCGAATTAGCCCTTAGTATAACACGTGAGCTGGAGGGGATCATGGCTGACCTGGTTCTAGCCGATGCTCTCGTGCACGGCAGAATTCCTCAGCTCTGACCGCGTATGAGTGTTCGTTACACGTGTTTACGGTTATGTACGTACTATGCATATATATATTCCTCTGTTCACTTGGTATCACATAGGCGTATATATATATATATACTCCCTGTATAAAAACCTCATATAGATATAGATACTAGCAGCTTCCTTCATTACCGAGACTCGATTGGAAGACTCGTTGAGAGCCACCCTGATTAAGACTCGTTAGCGCCGACGTTAGTCCTCGGAGGACGTTATTTACCCTTGCCGAAATCGGCCTAATTAGTAACGTCGAGCATCCCGTTGCATCCTCGTCGACATTCTCGAGCGTCGACGGAGCTCTCGGGATAAGTCGACGGCTTTGCTCGTCAGACTCTCTGTATACCAGCGATTCGATTCCTCTGAAGGATTTTCAAATTCGAAGGAAAATTTCAAATTGAAATTATGAAAAACCATGGGATATTTGGGGGGTAAGTTGTACAATTAATTTTTCTCGTTAAAATTTCAATGGAAATTTTTACTCCGTTCAAATTGCATCCTGCACTTGGATCAATTTAATTGTACGTAATAAAAGTGACGTCGAGCGATGTTACGCTATAGACATATATCGTATGTGTATACATATATGTGTATGCTGTATATGGGGCACGTATATCTATAGTCTATTGCATTTTTCATGGCTAATGCCCCGTAACTCGCTTCTCCACGTGTTAAGGCGTCGCCTCCTCGACGTCTCTAAGTCAGTTCGCGACGGGGACGCAGTCGCGGAAAACGCCGGTGGATTACCCGCATGAAACGGGACGATCTTTCACTGAAATAAAAGGACGCTGCCGCCCGCCTAAAACGGTAGTTAAGACTGGCGGTTAATGCACCGTAAAGATAATCGGACGACTCAACTTTTTACACAGCATCACGCTGGACCCCACGCGGAGTAACGTCGTCCTCGTTACCGTCATTATATCCATCTCGCTGATTTACCATGAACGCGGTCTGTGCGACTTTTGCCAGTATCTTACGTCAGGATTTTTTTTTTTAAAGTGTTATCTCTACTCGTATATATCCTCGCGCTTTCTTCGGCAGATACGGAGTTATGCTGAACAGACCCGACTGACGCACGTGTTAACGCGCTTACGAATTCTTAGCGATGTATCTTTAAGCTTTTCGACAGACTCGTTTTGGATGACGACGCTTACTGAAATTATTTAGTGTCTTCTCGGCTCTTTCTTTTATTCGACATATATATCGTCCGAGTGAAATTTTTCCGAGAAATACCAAGGGGCCAGAGACTTGCAAAGGACTTCCGTGTTAGGCTACAGTGCGCGTGTGATGTTTCATATTTTTTATCACCCTCCAGGGAGACGGTCTGATACTGCATTCCTGACTCGCCTTGGTGCACCTAGGGTAGACGTGATAGATGAAAATGTAAAATGCGCCTCCAGCATTCTGAAAATACCTAGCAAGGATAAGGACCACGTGGCATACCCGTTTTTTGGAATTTTACGCGTAAAACGCAAAAAAACGGATCTGCATGTTTTCATCTGCACTGCAAAGTCGTTTTGTTATTTTAAGATACAGAAGATTCTGCGAGTTTGTCTGTGTCTGTGGATGTTGTTTTTTTTTATTCGTTGTACGTTATTGTTATTTTTCTTGCAACGCGTACAGCTGCACATGAAATTCAAAAGGGTCCGGGTATTTTTAGGCTACGATTGATTGTATGTTGGGGAAGGCGTCGGGACGCATAAGATTTTGACCGAATTTCTCAAATTTTTTCTTTTTTTGAATAATATTGGATAATCGGGATTCCGGACACCTTCGGGCTTTCGCACTGTTGGTATCGCTCGCGATATTCATACCGCCATGGCTGCCTGTTCGGAGCATTCTAAAATTAGAGAAGTTCACGGAGCCGCCGGTTGCGGACCTATAGATGTCTTCGGCTGCTCACGAAGAATTCGCCGTTTCGCGCATAACATTGGAATCGTCCAATAGTCACGCGATCGATTCGTGACGTTTTCTTTCGAACTGAACGAATCGTCGTAAAGCGTTCACGAGGATCGATCGAGTAATATGCAAAATCGTGCAGAGCTATGGGAGACCAGTTTTCGTAGCTCAGCTTCCTCCTATACGCTTTTAGCTTTAAGTCTCTTAAGTGGATTTTATCGAGGTCAATGGCCAAGGCACATGCTCCGTCAAACTCTCGAAAGGGACATCGACCATGCATGATTACGTCCTTGTGAATCAGGCTTTATATTTAAAGCACGGTTTCCTAGTCGAGGGCCTACCGATTCCAAATCTCGAGAGCCCTTCTATTTTTGCACCGACTCCCTCCCTTGTCTTATGGTCGCCATTTTTTTTTTTTTTTCAATTATCTCTCTCTTTATTTCGCACACTCATACCCAAATTCACCTAATTTCGTCGTCGCGACGTATTTTCACGACCGAGCAAATTCTGTCTCTTGTCTCCATGTGCTCACCAAGCACGAAATAAACAAGGCGTCTTCCTATGGCGACACTATTTAAAGGCCACTTCCACGAACACGCTATTTCTGGCAGCTTCGTTTCTGCCAAATAGGCCGACTATCTCTCATACCTCCTATAACGCATAGTTCACGCTCTAACAATTTGTCCGCCGATCGAATCCCGATAGTACGGCTATCGATCCTTTTCGTCATTCGCGAAACCTTCGCGAATACAATGCGCGTCCCCGTAAATCCTGAAAATCACTCGGGGAAGCCATAAACGTTCGCACGTTGCGCATCCTCTGACTGTCCCACAGGAACTCCCGGGGAACCCCCTGCGGTCTTTGATGTTTACCATGGCAGAAGGAATGTATACATTTATAAAATTCTATTTCCTCGGTAGGAATTTAACGAACTTTGTGGCAACTGAGAATTTTTAAATCTTCTGCCTCATAGCGTTGCCTTTTTTTTTGTTTTACTTTCGTCCTGACAGGTTCCTACGTTACCGACGTCAAGTTTCACCGTTCACTACGTACAGACACGATTCGCAGTGTTCACTGTATACACATGTATACGGGCTCATTCGCTCGATGGTAAATAAAGCTGGTGCCGGCTTGTAGGCGTTTATACTTACGTCGCGTATATATCTTATGTATACCGTCTTATATATATATGTGTATATCATATTTTCCTCACGTACGAAATATTCTATTAACATTGAATTTCTTTGATTTCAGGCGGATCCGGCCGGGGTGAGGGTGAGGGTGGACCAAACGAGCTACCGGGCGGTAGAAGAAGTGGGGGCGTTGGTGGGGGTATATTGGGCGTCGGTGGGGGAGGTGGTTCACGTGGTTCCGGTGGTACCGGAAGTGGCGGTGGTCGCTCAAGGGACGAACCACGAAGACACACTCTCAGCGGAGATCACCAACCCTCCCTGCATCATCAACAGTTTAACGCTCAGCAACTTCATTCCCTTCATCCGCATCACCTGCCACAACCCCACGGGCAGTACGGGACTCCGCCCAGTCGCTACACCACCATGGATCTTGAGGTAAATTATTTAAAACCTAATCTTCAAATGCCTGATATTGATTTCTTTTTTTTTCTAATCGAACAAGTCCCTAATATCTAATCTTATTAAATATATCATCCGATCATTTTTGTACTATTTCTTATTACCCCAGCACCGTCGACCTCTTTCACATCTTATCAAAATAACAGAAGATAGTCCATTTTCTCACCTCGATACTTCTTTTTAATATACGAGCAACGACTGCTGCTGTACCGTTTCTAGTCTGAAGGATCATACTATCCCTTTGAATTTCACTAGTACTAGATCTAGTAAACCGATCTGTCTCTCCTTAAGGACAAGAAAAGATTCCAGCATCAACCACGTTATTTCGAAACCGAAGTTAATTTCTATTTATAATTGACCAATCTGTTCGATAACTAACATATAATTTTCTCAAACAATGCGTATCGCTCTAATCTAGAAAATCCTTTTTTGCAATAAATCAGCACTTTTTTAAGTTACCGTTCGATATCATCCACTCAGGTTTTTTTATTTATATACGTCATCCAACATTTCCCTGAGGCAGTTAGCCTATTTTTAAACTACACATTCACAGTCGTCGATCGACGTCACTGACAGCCAATCACAATCCAAATAAAGCGACGACAATGCTCCAATCGAAACTTCGATTAAAACCCGACATGGTGTTTTCTTTTTTTACTAAAGGGATTTTATTGCCCCCATACCTTTCCAAGGGTGTAAATCTACTACCCCCAGTGTCGTTGCTCGTGCATTACTCTTTTTCCCTTGCGTTACATCAACTTCTACGTGTAGCTGTACTATATATGTATAAATCTACAGTATCCATCATGCCGTCCAATCACCAGCCAGTGTACTTGTATGTCCTTAATACTGAATATATTCGAAATTATTATTCTGAGAAATTTTTACATTTTTCTTGTTGTACATTTTGAAAAGTCAATTTTTTAAATATACTTCCATCCTCTTCTCACTACTTCATTCTTGCTCTTCTCTCTCTGTTCGCACTCATCCTTCGGCGCGTCACTCACGGCTTAGCTACTGCACAGCAGCTGGACCTTCATACAGCTACATAATCCGAATGAGAATTTCGTTCAATTTTGCCCTGGTGGATCGAAGCTGTCCGAATAAACTAGATTTTTTATAATCAACTTTTTTTTTCTATCACAGTTTTTTCCCATGAAAAACGAATATACCAGTTCAGTTGGCACTCTTACAGACCCAATTGCCCTTTACGACATCAGCGCGACAGCATCGGCAAGCTGTTATTTTGTCCATTAGAATAAAAAATTCGAGCATGATTATAACGAGTGGTCCAATTAAAAGTAATCACGACAGCTAAGTACATTGTCTACGGTGATTACTTTTTAATCGTAACACCCGGTATACATGTGGCGCGATTCATTTGACTTCCACTAAAGTCCATTATTTTTCCTGGTTAATTAACGTAAAAGTCTATCGTAACTCCTCGAGTGTCGCTTGATGACGTTTCTCCTGCGCATTATGTACTTACATGATATGCACTATTATGTGCACTAGACTAGACGCCCTAGGTATACCTGTCCTCTGTGTAATCTTCTCGAGGGTTTCTTCACTAAGAATCCTTTACCAATGTAATCTTCTTCCCTCGGGAAAATCTTGGGTAGCTAAGTACGGAACGGCTGGGTACTTAGACGGGTGACGTCATCCCCCTTATGTACCTACGTCCCTAATGATCTAGAGGATTTACCGTGTGCTCGGTATAGCGTCGATTTTGAAGCAGCCACGAGTGAGAGAAAAGAGACTGAGGGGAGCAAGTGGGGGAGACGAAGGAAATTGAAAGTAAAAATTGTACCCTTAAGGCTCGGCTGTACAGTCACTGTAAGCAGTAGCGTGTAAATTATACGGATGGCATAATGCCTGCGAGCAGCTATTACGTCATGCGTCTGATGACATAAACGATGCGCGATAAAAACGTCCGGGAAAATACGTGGCGACTGTGCAGGAAGAGCAGTTTAAAGATCTGAGTAAATCTGCTCGTTCTCGCGTAGGTGTTTGTCATTTTTCGAGGAAGTTCGAGTCGCCTTGAAATTGGCATCATTTGCTTGTTCTTGGTTCCTGAAAAATATTGGATAATAAAAAAATAAGGAAAATAGAGGTGGGACGTCTTTCGTATGATTTGTTAAGGACTGGAGCCGTGCTGGTACTAACTGGCGGGATGTAGTTGAATCCTTGTTGATTTATTTACAAGCCCACCCCGTATGCTTGGAAAACTTTCTATCCTATCCTGTACAGCCCTTCTACCCCCTGGCCCTGGCCCTGTTGCTGTTTTTTTAATCTAACTGTTGTTTGTCTGTGTTTCCGTGTTCTTCGCTAACAGATGGGGACCAAGTCTCGACAGAGGAAGGTAATTTTTAAGATTTTCTTCTCCTACGCCTTTTTATTCTTGCATTGCTATTTTTCTGATGGCTTTATGTACACTAGTTTATTCAGCCCAAACGCACCACCTGAACATGGTTTACCCGTAAGACTTCAAATGGTCGCGCAAAATTCAGCTGGTGCGTTTCTACCGAATAACCCTGTATACGAGTGCAGACGGGTTATCGATGATATTGATTATCAGCATGTGGCACGATGCAATTATCGTCTGCATTCTGTTTAATTGAAATGGCTTAAAATATTTTTTTTTCAAGTATCGTTAAGGGTTGATTGAACGGTGTGACATGTTTTGTATAAATTTTTCAGTCGCCACTTCCACGCGGCTATCCACCCCCGTCGACAGCGATGCTCTTCGACGACGACCCCGGGATCATGTCCGAAGTCGAGACCTCAAGCACAGGATTCCGCAGGGGTGGAAAGCAAAGGAGCAGCTTGCCCGTGGTGCGAACCCCGAGCAAGACCTTAGAACGACCACTAGGTAACTGAAAATCTTAAGTGACGAGGTGTCTTCCTCTCTCCTTTATTCTTGATTTTCTATATTTTTTTTTATTTATTATTTTTTCTTTAAATTCGTTCCACCTCCTATCTCATCTGCATCGAAATCAATCAAGGAACATCAGCCGCAGAACGTGACACGCGGTGAAGGGTGGAATTAATCAAAATTTATTTCAACCCCTTGCTACCGAGATGCCCATAAAAATTTCCACGGAGACTTCCGTTCGCAACCTCCCCCTCGCCCATGGCTTACGCAGACAATCAAATTCCAAAATAATAAAACAATTTGGCTATCCTTCGTTAAGCGACTACTTCCTCGTGGCAGCTTTTAACGGGTTTCTTGGCGAATTCCTTCCTATAGGCATCCTTCATACTGGAAAATCAGAGAGTCACCGTCAATCCTCACCAGTGAGAATTATCACGATGCTTGTTTCATTGACAATTAAATAATTGGAACTTTAGTAGAATTCAATTGAATGAATGTTTCCTTGTTGAACTTCTCCTCTGTTTACCCAAAATCATGTAATCGAATGACCGTGTTCACCTTTAACCTAATTCCGCATCCTGGAGACACGTCGTTTACGTGTAATCGTGTCACACGTACCAAAGTGGCATTGAATGGCGCTTATTCCTGACAAAACATTGAATTTCTGTGGGCGACTCCCTAGGACTGGTGTTCCTGCAGTACAGGAACGAGACGAAACGGGCGTTACTGCCAAACGAAGTAACCAGTATAGACACCGTCAAGGCACTCTTCGTCAGGAGCTTCCCCAAGCAACTAACAATGGAGTATCTTGACAGTCCCCATGTCAAGGTTTACATTCACGACAGCAACAAGGACATGTTCTACGAGCTGGAGGATCTGAGGTTTGTTATCTGCTTATTATACCTTACGTATAAGGCGTGGCTTCTTAATACGCTTTCCCAATGTCTTACAATTCTTTTTTGATTTTCAGATCTCATCTTAGGGATATCAGGGATCGAAGTGTTCTCAGATTATTTGAAAGCGCCGATGGCGTGGCTGGTATGCCTGGTCCTATGGGTGCTCCTGCAGGTGGCACTGCGCTACCGCCGCATTGGGAGGATCAAAGTTACTTCAGCGAGCCAGAATTCGACAGCGAGTTTCAGCATCAGCACATCCACAAGAGCAAGGTACGTGGAACTTATTGGTTACGTAAACAACGTTCATGGCGTCGGATAGATACGGAGTCCAGATAAATACTTTGAAGTTTGTTATTAATCGAATAATCATTTTCGAGGGTGGGATATATGACGGGGTCTTCGATAACTTCCACAGCCGTGAAAGATGTTGGAATTGACACGTTAGATACATGTGTTCATCTCGTACACGTGGGTGTATATGGAGGCGGTATGGAATCTTACGTCGTTTACGCAATATTTATTTTATGTAACCTAACGAACGCGTATGGTATAGTAATCGGTAGTAATTACACACGAGCCACGAAATGTATACAACATGTTTATTTATATATCCTATTTATACACTGCTTAAAAATGGAATGATAGTATGTTCAACGTGACTGATGCTACCAGTTGATCCTTAGCTATCGATAAGTCCATTTATTGATTTTGAGCTTGACTCGAATCCAGGAGATTAATCTAGGTCAGTATCTGTCTCTTGGAAACATTGTCCACTGAGTATTATTAGTCGCTTTTCGTATGCGGTCTGATACGCTGTCGCGTCGATGATTATAAATAAATATAAACTAGGCGCATGCGCGCGGCCAAGTGAATTCTTTCGTTAGACACGATTCGAAGTAAAGATGACGTCCGACGTTACGAAAGATATTTTCGTAATTGTTTCAGGTTACTCGTTACCGGAAATTTCCTCGTGTCTTCCTGTTTCCTTCCTCTCCGCTCTCCTCGCTTGCTTAAGGAGAGTCTTAAGGGTTTCGTATTTCCGGCGTCTCGTGAAACTCTAGCGGCCACGGCCTTTTGATCTCGTCGGGGTAGATGCAATCCCATCGGCTTTTGTTATTAATCGTCTCGAAACTCACTTAGCCGCGCTAACGATAAGTTCGTAATTCGACGCGGTCGTGCACGACGACCCACGACGTCGAAGATTCTATTAGGGATTCCGACTCGATTAACCTTAGAACGCCTTGCATGTCTGGGCGGCTGGCAGATAAACGGCACCGGAGTATAGCTTCTTCGGGACGTTTCTCCACGACATTACCAGAGCCTTCTCGAAGGGTTCCTCGGCGCAGCCGTCACAAATGTCCATTACTTGTTTAACCTCGGCCTCGGCCGGTTCGCGTTCCTCGTCCTTGGTCGCGTGGGCCGGAAGCTGAGCGCCGAAGCTTGCCAAACCGGAGAAATAGTTGTTGTCCAGTCCTTGAGACACCAGGTAGCTGTCGTCCAAGACGGATCCATCGGCCAACTGTACCAAGCCGCGTTTCCTCTTCTCGGAATCTCTCTTACTAACCGTTTTCTCGTTTAAGGAACTTGGTTCTTTCTTTGCCAAGAAGGAGACCTTAAGGTTTGAAAAATGTTCGATAATCGCTTAACCTTTATCGGCCATCATCGTTATAATTAATAAATAGACAATTTGTGATTACCTTATCGTCGACAGTTTCGCGCTTAACCAATTTCTTCAGCTCCGTCGACTCAACGGCAGCTATCAGATCGTCCTGATGACTGTCTCCTGGCTGAGCAGCGGATTTATCTCTTTTAAAGAGGTTGTGGTACTGACCGTTGACGAAGCTGAATCCATTCGCAGCTGCAGGGTTAGTTTGACTCAATTGAGGAAGCTGAGCTACCTGGGGGATTCGTCCTAGTGGGGAGGCAAGGTTTCCAAAGAACTGAGTTGTACGGAAGCTGTTGCCGTAAGAGGGTATACCGGAAATGGGTGGTGAAGCTGTTGACAAGGCTGCCAGGGAATCAGGATTTGGTGGTGGGAATGGCTGCGGTGCAGGTTCTTGCTGCGGAGGGATATTCGGGTGACGTAGTGTCACTCCATTTTGATTTATTTGAACCTGAACTCCAGGATTGATCTTGACCTGATGAGAAAAATTATATTATTTTCAAGAGATTCGTACAATTATTATTAGAGTATCTAGGTATAGTCACTTGCCTGATGGTTAATCTGTCCACCGGTCAGAAAAGGGTTCATTGGCAATGGTGGTCCAGTTACTGGAGGCGCGGTCGTAGTTCTGGGTGTATTATTATTGGTGTCATGCTCATAGTGATGAGCATGATGATGCTTGTGATCTCTGTGTGCTTTTCCAGCAGTCAGAGCAACATTGTACAGTTGAACCATCGTGAGCTCTCCAAGGAAACCACCAGAACCTGAACGAAAAAAGTGACGTCCCCCTTAATAAAAAAGTAGTTACAAGAAGGACATACCAAGAACAGCACCAGACGTACCCTGAGGAGCATCATGCCCTTCCAGAAAACCACCACCCAACTGCCGTTGCTCCTGTCCAGAAATAGCGATTCCACCGCCCTTGATGACATGTCCTACAAGCTGAGAAAGGAAGGCAATCTTCTTTTAGAATAAATCCCAAAAGTTCTGTAACGCGTGATGGTCATTGAAAATTTTCAAAATCCTCTAACAGCGATCCGTCGCTTATCGTAGGAACCGCCAACAGCTCTCGGCCGTTCTCCATGAGTACTTTCTCTGGTTCCGGCGGGATGACTTTCGGGAACGCGCGTTTGTCGTTCAGGAAGCTTGCGAAAATCAAGTTCACTTCCAGAGTTTCTACTCGTATATATTGGCAACAATCGATTCTCCTAGTTCGGGTAGGTGTATAACTTTATGGGTGGACCATCAAGTAGGCAGTTTGAACCAGGTCGGTAGGCATACAGAAGATTTCCTCTACTCACCCTGTTGTTGAAGCCACGGCCTACGCGCTCGTCGTTGACCCAGATTTGCCATTCTCCAGTGCGGCCATTCCAACTCTGACAGGAGTGGTACCACTTGTTCAATCTCAGCGGATAGTTCAATCTGTAGAGGTTGTGGCCGTCTATGTTGAGCATGTAGTAGGAACTCCTGGCGGTATTTGCCACCCAGGAGAAAATTCCTCGAGGCTGATCCCCGACTGTGAAAAAAGTCGCTCTTATAGCTCACAGATTGAATTTCTTGTTCATCACGTTGCCAACTGTGTGGACATACACCATGCATTTTTTGTACATTGCTAATGTGACACCTTTGAGAAATCTCCATCCTCTTAGCTTTTACTGCACTTTAATCGCTCTTTTTAATATTTTCTATAATTTTCATACTCGTTCGATTCTGTATATTAATTGGTACGCGGAATTCCATTCCCTAACGTGGTTCGGTTATGTCTTAACGATGTATGTACAGAGTCTCCGGAGACTGAGAAAGAGAAAGAGACAAATTATCAAATACAAAACTAACACGCGTATCGGTAGGGGCCCACATTACTTTCCACCGGTACATAATAAGATAGCCTGTCCTTTCTAAATGAATGGCATACCAAAAACTCTATATTTATTTCATAGAATTTCAAGTAGAAAGTAGTAAAAATTAATTGAGAAACATTGCTTCGTGTCATTTGTTGAGACAGCAAAATTTGTCATGGCTTTTTTTTCTAATTTTCTAATTGTTCAAAAAAATGCACTGCTTTCTAATGATGCTTGTAATTTTTTTTTTTTGGAAATTTCCATTCACTCGCTAATGATTCAGTTCACGACCGGACCCGGTGAACGGCTTGCTCCATATCAAATAAACAATCGATCGTTGGAGATTGACTTACCGGCGTATGAAAAGAGCGGGTGATCATTGGAATGATTGTAAAACTTGGTCCACATGCAGAGCGTGAATTCCTGAAGATCCGGCAGATCCGTCTTGTAGTGGATATACTGTAGAAAGTGGTTTACAGAAATTTTAGGATAAATAATGGAAATTATTACAATTATCGATCGCGTTCCACAAGGATAAGAAACGTTTCTCGCTCTTTTCGTTTAAAATTCGCTTTATCGATTATTTTCAATAATTTCGTCCCAGAGTCAATTGTTTTTCTCGAATTTCGTAGGGCTCAAGCTGCACGTTAAACTATTTTTAACGATCCGCCTTCCGCGACTACAGTCAGTCGTCGTGACTGCATCGGAACTTTTAAATCTCCCGCCAAAGCTATTTCTTAGCTTTATTACGTTACCGTTTCAAAGACAGTCCCGACGAATGTTTGACAGACGTCGCCCGTAGGGAACGTCGAAATGCTTCTAAGATTTTTGAAATTGTCATTAAAGATTTCTTTTTGGCGAGAAGTCCAAGAAAAATAATACCAACATTCCCCAGTAAATTGACCTCGACTCGTCGCAGGGAAAGTTATTTAATAGTCGATTATAAATACAAGCGTTAAACGATGCAGATTGCAATCTGGATTCTTTGGAATTTTCTGAAATACCATTAAATTCATTAAAATACTTATCGAGCTATGCTTTAGCAACATATATGCATTTTCTATCACAGCCAAACCCACGTGTATCACTATATAGGTACTTGTGCCCAGGTCGAAATCCCGGGTCGGAATGCATAATGCGCCCCTGCTTTGTCTCCGGTTCCAGAGCAAAAAAAGCAGAATTCCATACGTCCTCCGCAGCCTTGTTACTCGACAATGGATGGTCTTAAGGCTCTTAAGGCTCGCAGAATACGCTCACTAAATTCCTATAGAACTGAGTCACAAGCTGCACCAATTAACAGGTAGGCAGTCACATGGTGGGCTTCACATTCGCATCGATGATTTGCACAGTGTGCCACTGACAACAAAAGAGGCCGTTTTCATTGAGGTGCACACGCCTCGGAACGTGTCGTTAAGCAAATGCAAATCATTCGCAGTCTCAACGATGGTTCTTACACGCAATCCTAATTCAGGGCTCAGTCTGCCAGTGTAATCTACAATGACATTAGCCGTGTATTGAACACGAGCACCGGTATTTACCTTATTGGCGATCGTACTGGCTATTTAAAAAGGAATCATTTCTTAAGTCGCCTCGGATATGGAAACTCGGAATCGTCAAGTACTTTAACCTCAATCCATATACGACGAATCAGATATACACCTAACGAGTCTTGGGATACTTAATTTTGACGCAATCCGCATAAGCGTAACTTTTAAGCCTTGTTTAAATCTACGCGTTGCTTCGACATTGCGTGCGAGTTATACCTATATATATAGTTATATCCGGTCGAAAGCTTATTTCTTGCTATATATATATATATATATATATATATATATATATATATATATATATATATATATATATATATATATATATATATATATATATATATATATATATATATATATATATATATATATATATATATATATTTCGTAATAAGAAAACTTTTCACACTATTAAATGACTCTGTTTTTCATCATAAGGACGATCTTCTATTTACTATGTTTTAATCATGCAAACGCTTTACTTATGCGTAGTACTTCCGATGCATTCTGGGTACACCAAGCATGTCTTTGACACTAACTTTGTACAAGTCGTTCTGGTCTTTCTCCGTGAATTTCAAAGGGAACGTGGGCTGTCGTCGAGCGTATCGAGAGAGAGAGAGAGAGAGAGAGAGAGAGAGAGAGAGAGAGAGGGACGGGCAGGTGCCATTTTCAAGAGTATTGAACTTCCGCCATGTAGCGAAAAGTGAAATTCGCGTTGCTACGAAGTTGACTTCCGCTCGGTAAAGGTGCTGCGTGCCCATGGAAGTGATCGTTGGTGGTTTGCAAGTTGGTGAAGGGCGAGGTGGGAACGGAGGACAGGGTGTTTATTGCTGGGGAAAAGAGTCGAGGCAATTTCACGTTTGCGGACGATGCTACTAGATACACGCGTGTACCATTCCGTATACGTACTACGTGTAATGATACGAGGTATTAAATACAACGTAGAATTTCAATGAATCGATTAGTTTATATTATCGCGGAACGACCGTCCACACGATTACCAGGAATCAGTATTACCAATCTCTCCTGGTATCACTGTCAAAGACGACCATTGTTTCTTTTTTATTTTTCTCGTGAGACGGTTTCGTTTTTAAATATAATTTTTAATACGCGCCGCACTAACCAGATGGCGCGCCGTGACTAATCTTACTTGAACAAACTACTTGTGGAATTACTTATGTCTTACTACTTGTGGAATTTATTAATGGATTGCATTTGATCGAATTCAATATCGATTCCAGAAGGCTTTTTTATGGAGTGACTCTTCGTAATTGCCAATTTGACGATTGAGTCAGTTTGATCATTGCGCAGACTCAATTAATCGTTTCTATCGTCCTCGGGAGAAATTTTGAATGTTCCTCATATTTTTCAATTGTAAGCACTATTGGAATTACCAACCGTCCCTGATCTCTTTCACCCGAAATTCTTTCGATTAGCCTCCCTCTCGCGATTTCTATCTTATGTCTATATGCTGTTGACTGTAACGGTTGGTAATAACGATTTGGAAGGAACGTCACTGACAAGGGTCCCACTCGTCGACACGATGAGAATTGTTTTCCGATCGCTGATCCGCGATAAAGCCAGACAGCTCGTACGTAAGGAGACACGCGAACTCGATTTTCTTTAGGCGCCCGTCGTCGTGTCTTTACAACGTTAAATTGTTCACGCTGCTCATTTGACCTATTTACAAGATTGACCGTGTAAACGAAAAGCCTAACCAACGGATACATCCAAGGCGCCACGTTTTTAATATTTCTCGAATGAGCCACTCGCTGGCAAACAACCGGCTTTAGCTGTCGCGCTTTATATCATAAAATCCAGTGCTATTTTTAGAACCGCTAAGATTTACGAACGTGTCATGAGACGGGATAAAAAATACTCAGAACTGTAGGTCGAGTCGTACTGGAAACTCCACTGTTGATTATAGACGGATGATTTCCGCTGATTTCACTGGCTACATAGATTATCCGTTACGGACGCACCGAGTGGCTTTACCTTTGTGTGGCAGAATGGCCACTCGATTCGAGGAGAAGGGACGTTACGTGTACAGTAAGTACGTTACACGCCTTAATATCAACGTCAGTCTTTCGTTTTCTCCTGCTTTCATTAACGGCCACTTGGCTGTACTCTATGCGCACTCCGGTATACCTATACGTACCTTTTCGTCATATTATCCTGTCTGGTCATTGCCAGTTCCGAACGCATTTGCATTCTCGTGCCTGGAAGTCACTTTCTTTGTTCTCTAGCGAGGAAAGCAAACCGATATTCGAGCTGTGAAATCAGCTTTTTTTCTCAATTTACAAACTGACAGGTTCTTGGAATAATTTTTTCTTTCCCGGTATTCCATCTTTTTTATTGCCTTTACATTCCGACGCAGTTCGACGATGCATGGCTAACAGACTGCACACGTGCTGCTTTATGCTTCGAGACGAAATTCAATGCATACGTAAACTCTCCTGAGATCGTGCGATATTTTTATAAGACTTTTTACACGGTTATGCCTGTTCGTAGTATAACGCTACTGTGTTACTTTCGAGATCTTTGTATTTACACTCTTCCGTGATTTTCTTTATTCCGCTATGGACTAACCTCAAAGTAAAGCTGCTGGCTCATGGAGACTTTGTACAGCGCGCATTGATCCTGCTCCTGCTGCGCCAAGGGATGGCTCTGTGGTAGCGACACTTCGTCGTAACTGTACGTCGCCAAGGGCGACTCGTAAGCAGCGGCTTCCTGGTGCAACAGGCTTGAGCCTAACCTAGTTGGTATGACGGGTCTCCACTGCGAGGAGATGGCGACTGTCGCGGAGAAGAGTGTACAGAAAAGAAGTAACATTTTGTTCCGTTTCATTTTCTCACGATTACCTGTAACAATAATGACAGATTTAAAGAATATTTTTCCCACAATGCATCGCGAACAATTAACATGGACCGTTACAGCTGACTTCCCACTGGACTCCGAAGTCTCGCACGGTTTTACATAAATAGTACCTATCGCGCGCGACACTTAGAATTTTAATCGCTTCAAGAGCCTCGGACGCAACTTTGCGGATTTAGCCCAATAAGGTAAACAGCTTCCTCTTATGTCTCGTTCCGTAAGATTAAACTTTTCACAAGCATCCCGACTCGTTGCGACATATTTCCAGTCCTGTTATAAAAGCACGTGTCCTCGATATTCCATATGGCGTCAACCGCTGTACACTATTGGTATGTCTATTTGAGCTTATATCAAATGCTAATTGAATACAGTCACTTATTATTGCTACGGAATCGATTAGCTGCCGCGAGAACGAGACTGTGCATTTAATCGAAGATTAATCGGAAATATTGCGTAATTTTGTAAGATTCCTCTACAAATAAAATGTATGGGTAATACCACCATGTATGCGTACCGGCATGTGTACCGGTATTACCATTTACGAAGCACATGACACTAGGATTCACATAATCGGTATTTACTATACTTTCTCCGTGTGCAGTGTTACCTGCTGTAACTTCGGGTTGTGTTACGCAAAATGACGCTTGTTTTTTTCCTATTTCTTTCTATTCATTAATTCATCAATGATGCTCATAGAGATTCGGTAACGTTCACTGTCCTCTTAGCTCATCGCTCGTTGAAAATTGTTGACGTGACCGATTCAAAAGGAGTTTCTGTGTCGTGTTAATTAAAGTAATGTCGTAGATTCTATTTGAAATTAAGTGACAATTTCTTGTTCACGACGCAATCGTAGATTGTCACTTTTCGTGAAACTTTTAATTTCGCGCGCTTCTTTGTCAATAATATGTTCTTGACAGTGCGCGGGACCGGTAGTCTTACGTAAATGGATAATATTGTGAAACTCCTGGGTACTTTCGTTATTGGAAGCGACAAATGCAAACCTTTGGATTTTCGTTAATTCTCTACTACCTTCCGATGTATAGAAATTTGATTTTTTTGGAATTTTGAAAAATTACATTTTGGTAATACCATTTTTTTTTTCTTTTTTTTTTTAGTACTATGATGAATTTGGTTCGTACAGTGTTTTACGATGGTTGCTGCTTCAATCTAACGGATCGAATGAAACTGGCTAGCAAAAAGTCTTATAGACTTTTAACACTCGAATGCCCGTTGTGCATAAGAAAAATGCTCGATTTTGTTACGTTGAGGTTGGCGCAGTGGCACTGTGCCAAGGGTAAATATTTCTTGTGAATTTTTGTTATGCCAAAAAGTTGGCTAGCTTCGTTGAATTTTGTGACGCGTACACGAGGGAGGAGGGGTATTCGAGAAAATGGCGTGGATCATTTGGGATTTTAAGGTGTGGGCGAAATTTCAATAATAGACAGACGTCAAATTGACGTTTATAGTACGTAAGGTGCCGAATATAACCTGCGAATTTATATGTTAGCATGTAAATATACATTGTAAAATTGAACTTCGTAGGGCAATCTATTTTCAAATAACAAATTCCTCAGCCAATTTATTTACTCAGTGTGTGATAATTACGCATCCTCGCATCTGTTTGTATGGATATACGCTGTATTCGGTAATTCGTTAGTTACTTTCGCGGATTAATTGATTTTAATGTTTTATCCGGGTCGTCTCGTTATATTTCCCGAAATATATAGCATATTTATGACGCATGCCTGTACGCGCTCCTTTCAGAGGATGATATTTTGAAAATTGACGGCGTGCATTCGATCGCAGAGAATTACTATAACACATTATTTTAAAATGTATAAAACTCACATGGTGAATCGTGCACGTTGGTTTCACTTAAAGTAGGCGAAATATATTTCCATAAATTGCTTTCTACACGAGTAACTCCTGTCGCACGACTATCTCCGTGAAATTTAAACCTGGTTGCACGAAAATACCGAAAATCGAGTATCCGACAATATTTTCAAAAATTAATGTCCAGTAGACGGTTGACGTCCAGATGCGAGGTTTTACGAGCACGTGTTTTCCTGTGAAGCGAAGACACTAATTGTCTTTTATTCGATAATTAAAATTCCAAGCTAATCCAATTTATTAATTAAAAAAAAAGATGGTTCAATATCGCAAAATTTTTTTATAATCCATAATCAATGAAAATTCAATTCAATCGTAATATTATGATTCTTGACAGCCACTGTCATTACCACGTGGTGGTATACCTTTCATTACGTATTTCACGGACACAAATTAATTTCACTGTTCGTTAATTTTCAATTAATATATTCTCTTATCAGATCCCGTATAAATAACCTCGGGTATATAGATATATACATAAATAGCTGTCTGGTGCACTCTAAATCTAAATATGCATTTAATAATAAGATATTACACAATATGATTTCTCGATAGTATGCAATTCTTTGTGTAAACACTATCCATCGTATCCTCAGGCTAGACTCACCGGACACGAGGATAATCGGATATGGTCCAGACGGCGGGGGTAATGTGGCAGATCCTCGCGGTCTCGGCACAGAAAGAGAACTGGGTATCCGCGGTGCTTACCTTATGCCTCGTAAACTCAACATTCAAGACACAGAGAAAGAGAATTCTCCTACCAGTCTCTTACTCGGCCACACTTTTGCTTCACTTGCACTCTTTGCCACACATGGTTCACTGCCGTTCTCTACCTATAGATATATACCTTTACCTGTAGGCTGGAGCTCAACCTATAGAAGACAGCTCCACCTCCCTTAACTTTGAAAAGTGAACGTTCGATACCTTCAAGTGGAGGTGGAGATGCGATGGACAAAAACATTTTTTTATCCGGATCACGGACTGATATTTATTTTTCAAAAAATGATAATGGTTCAGTGTATTTTGAAAATGTATACGGATACAATTCGAGAGTCGACGCATCCCAGTATATATGTATATATACATATAATTTTCAAAAATCTGCATTAGTATGAAATATGAATTTTGAATGTTGAACTGTATTTAGATGTGCAATTTTTTAAGTCGTTTTTTTCAAAGTTTCTTTTCAAGTCGATGTAGGTAAATTAACATTGGCATACTTGATCGAAATTGGATATTGTTTTTTTTTTTCTTGTGGTCCTTGTCTACGATGATCTGTATCGATCAGTCTCTCCATTGATTTGAGGATCGAGGATTTTATTAATGGTTGCTATAGGTGTCGGGTAAATTGCACAATTCTCAAATGATTTTTGCGAAGCTTCTCGAAACTCGGGACTGTGGCTTTGAACGTGTCCGAGTATATCACCGTTTAACTTTCACTCGTGAGATTCGAATGGCTCCGTCACGTGTGATTACCTGGGCTCCGAAGGGAAGGGACGAAGGGTCCATTTGGTCTTTAATTCACTTGGATTGATTTATTTCGTCGTTTTCTACACCCTTAACGTGTTTTTTAATGTCGGCGGACAGTCTTGATTTTATAGTTTAGAAAAGCTGTACGAAGTTTATGAAATTAAAATGACTGGCCATTCCGAATAATGAATGACTATGCCTGTACAGATAAATGCAACGGAGACTCCTCCGTTTAACGTTTAATCGTTGATTCGTCGGTAAAGGAAAACACATGGGAAACTGCATGAAGTTCCATAGAAATTCCATTTATGCCAACGCATCAACTACAGTTTAGATGGTAAACTTAAGCAGCGACCTTCGACGTCAGCTAATTCCATTAATCGCCTTGAAACATAACCTCCAAATAGATCGAGGAGTCCCAGCAAATGATCCAGCGTTCAGGATCCGGATCAGACCTCTCACAGACAAGTTCAATGACGTCCGTATTAATTTTCAACTAAAACACGTCCGAACCACGTAACATTTTTATTTTGAAAATTAAGTAAAAGATAGATCGTAACGAACAAGTAAATTCAATTAGTCCATCTAAGTATTCACTTAGCCTTCTTGTTCTTCTTATACGCGTCAAAAGGTCGTGAACGCTTTCACCACTGATCGTCGTATTCACCGGCCCGAAACTAGATTCGTTGAATCATTAGTGAATTAGGGCAGAATCAACATGTTAAGGCTGACAATGTAAACGCATTGAATATTCTCTGAATACAGGATTGGGAACTGATAGAATTGACAGACGGAAACTGGATCAACTAGTCAGAGATCAGTTTTAGGGCTAAAGACTTCTCCACCTGCATTCACACGTCGATTTACAGACACTCTTTAAATCGTCTAAGTAAATCATTGTGAACGATAATCGATATGGAGGTTTGAACCTTTTAAGATTTTTTTTTTTTTCATGCGTCGCGGAACGTGCGAAACGGAGATTATAAATCTGCTGACACATTCCTTTCGCGATTACGAAGTATTACGTCAGAGGTATTGCTACCAAGTGGCTAATGAAATATTTGGTAGCCAGTTACGGATACGGATCTTTGATCTAGACTAGTGTAGTATTAGCACTGATACACTCTGAGGTCATGTGGTTCACAAGATTTCCGTAGTGGCAAACGGCTTTGATAGACAGGAAATGAGCCAGAACAACCTTACACCGAAAATTCACTGTCGCCGGGTACCTCCTTGCCACTTTTCATAAAATCGGCAACATTACTTGTTTTAACCATGGTCTTTGTCTTTAAGATTTACCTCGGTTGGAATTTGCGACCAGAGAAATCGATAGATGCCCCCTTGATTAATCTATTTAATATCCACAATTATGCTCAACAACTTTTCGAAATATGCTAACTGTACGATTAATGACTCTCGTTTATGAGCGGTTCAATAAAAATATATTTGTCCTTCCAAATTTCTATGGTTTCGATATTGACGACGAATTCGGATTGATCGCTCTATTAAATTCGAGATAAGAATGACAGTTGATCGATATTGTAATAGTACGTGTCATTTTTTTTGTTTATTACTACTCGTATAATTGTCTTGTTAAAATACCTTTTAAAGTGTCTGTTGTTTGATCTCAGACAGACATTTCATGTCTATCTGATTGCTAGTTTTAACTTCCTTTATTTCATAGGTGATTGGTCGACCTTGTGAACGGTATCATTATGCCTGTTATACAATATAGAGATATTCTGTGTCATTGTACTTTTTAATGTGGAGTAACTTCAAATTGATTACTTCTGGAGGTATTAAATACCCTATAGGTATACATGAAGTATTTAATACCTGTGGGATTGGTTAAAGAACTTTGTAACTCCTTGAAAATCCTTCCCTCTTTTCATTGGATTTTCTAGGCTTAAAGTTTCAAGGGCTGGGTACAAGTTACCCTTGACGATTAAAATTCGAAACTAATATTAATTAGAACTAGTATTCCATACAAGTTTGGTAATCTGGAACGCCAATGAGGAACGGCACTCTGCCACTGTGAACTTTCTTGTATTAATTATTCTCACGTATTACCTTAGGACTGAAATTTGTCCTAGTCAAGTATATTTAATACCGCCAGTAGCTATGCTGTAGATCATTCAACATCATTGATACGCGTGTAACCATCTGGATTATCGAATGCTTCCTGTAGCGTTCTCCAGAGATCTGACGTCAGTCCCTATATATTGGCGCCATCACGTTCCTTATACTGGATATAGATACACGCTTCAGGAATTTACAAAAGAAAGTTACATTGAATAATCGGCCACGTTGAAAAGTAAAGATCTGACAATTATTTTACGTGATATTATCTTTTCGTTATGATACAAATTTCAATTTCCCGCCAAAGACCAATTCAATTTCACGTACAGATTGAATCTAGTAATTTCTTACCTCATACCGACACGGAGCGTAGGCATAAATAAGCAATTACATAAAAGTGTAAAAGAGCGTCTATATAGTAACGTCACGCACAGGCGTGTCAGTGAAATTGTAGCTTGCGCCACTTATCGTTGCCTCTATCTTATAAGGAAGTGACATAGATGGCAGCACCGTCGCAATACGCACGCTACGGAGAATTATTGAAATAAGTCACTAGGCGACTTCTCTAGGGAGTTTATGCTGGAATCACGTCGAACAAAGTTACCAAACCTTTTTAACCCTCGAAACGAATTAGATTCGTTACCCAACCTCAATTCGCTGTTTTTTCTCCCTGCATGTAGCAGGCCTCGGTTACGTGTTTTGTGGGCTGTGCGCCCGGAACCCGGAAGAATTCGTTAATTCCTCCTCCCTGCTTAAATGGCAATTCAGAAGCTTACGTCGCGAAAATGCCACGCAAAAAACGAATCAGTACGGTGCGGGTAGTGAATGACGTGGTAGAAAAAAAATGTGATTCGAATGAAATAACAACAGTGAAATGACCACTAAAAAGGTGTACATTACCAACGCGTACGATATGTCGCAATTTCGTATTACCCGAGACGTCTGAAAATCATTTTTATTTTTCTTTGTTTCAGGTAAGAAACTTTGATCCATCGTCGGTATGCCTAATATCCGGTTGGTTAAAAATTCAATGGTGAGTGATTTGTGATATTTGCACCCAAAGCACACGCATTAAAACGAACTGCATTATGCAGTATGACTGTCGGGAATGCCAATGCAGTAACTAGATTATCTAGTCATTTCCGTATGTTGCAACAAAACGTCATCTCACATAACTGACATCCGGTATCCCAACTTTCCTGTCTTGCAGAGTCTACCAAACCTCTTCTAAACGTATCCGAGTATCAAAACGAAACGGAATCTGGTTCGTTCTACAACAGCGGCAGTGACTCAGTATAATTATTTGACCTGACATTCCCTAGGGATTGACCTCTAAGAAAAAAAATTATATTAATATCAAAGACCCTGGTTAGAGAGAGGTCCATCGTAATAATTAATAACGTAACCGTTCCTTAATATCCCTAGAGAATCAGGTCCATCTATGATTCAAGGTTCAATTCGTCATGTCGAACAAATATGGCAAGTCCAGACTTTCCTTGCTGATTATTGCTTAGTACGAAATGACGAATTAACACACGCGAGTCCTGATCACGATTCGATTAAGTCATCTTTGACTAATTGTATATACATATATATTTTTTAAACTCTTTACATATAATTAATTTTACGTCATCCGTCTCAGCTTCACGTTCACCTGATTTCGCCACAGTTCGCTTCCGTCAGCTCGCTGGGAATTCTTATTGTATTCCAACTGTCTATGGGGATCGATCGTTACTCTTGTGCCAATCTAACAATCACGCGATCATTCCTCTACACGCGAACCGGTCTCAAGGAAATATCCTTGCACTTGCTATTCATACATCACGAGTAGAATTGTCTGTGGAATTGCGGTTAAATGCTGGGCGTTCCGTGCTCAGCAATCGTAACGCGCTCGATGATATTCGCGTAATGCTTGTTTAAGCAATACGAATTGAGGGTAGAAAGTAAATACTTAAATACGTATATATATACACATATATGTATTTGCAAGAGTAAGAATTTTTTTGGGGAAAAAAGGTGCACTGCCCCTTCGGGGTCTTTGTATGACGGAAGTGATCGATTGCATGACTTGCAAGAGAAAGAGAAAAAATATGGGTGACTCTCGAGAAATTGAAAGTTGATCTGTTTCGTCGCACCGTCACGATCAACTTGTTGCCGATTATGGAGTGTACTGTGGATGCACGATTTTTGGCCATACGAATCAT